AAATCCTACCTCTGTGGACATTCTAGGGCAGATGGAGGGGTGGGAGAGAATCAACGTACTGACTTAAAGGAATTATACAGCCTGGTAGAAGGCCTTCGGTGTTATGGGGGAATACAGAGCAAAGTCAAAGATTCGGGGAATGTGGGTGGCAGATTACGGGGTTTCAGATTTAAACAGGGTGGTCAAGGGGCGCCTGGGTGGCTCAGTCCATTAAGCATCCGACTCTTGATTTCAGCTCCGGTCATGATCTCAAAGTTTGTGAGTTCGAGCCCTGAGGCAGGCTTGGCGCTGACAGCATGGAGCTCCCTTGGGATTCTCTCTCTCCCTCTCCTGCCCCCCCCTCGTCCCTTTCCCCCACTCACACTCCTCCTCTCTCTCTCAAAATAAATAAGTAGACGTTAAAAAATAAACAATAAACAGGGTGGTCGGGGTGGGCCTCAATGAGACATTTGAACAGAAATTTTTTTTTGAGATTGGAGATTTCAGCAAAGAATTGAAGAGAGGGAGATGACATGAAAGTACGGGTTCGGGGCTGTAGGAATGTGCTGGGGGATTAGGAGGATCGGTAAGGGCAGGGAGGAGTAGGTGATGGGGGACAGAGAGCTTCGTGGGCCACTCAACACAGGCCTCGTAGGCCCCTGGAGATCTCGGGCTCTCATTCTGGAAGATACAGGGAGCACCCAGCAGACAGGGGAGGGCTTCGAGCAGAGAGAAGGGACAAGATCTGAGCACAGGATAAAAATGTCCCTCTGCCTTGGGGACAGCGGTGGGTGGAGAGGCTGCCGCGGTGATTAGGCAAGAAGAGCCGCTGCTCATCTGTCAAGTGCAGAGAAGAGGGGCACCTGCTCTCGGGTTGCTGCGTGAAGGCCAAGCGTTTGCCCACCCAGGCCCTGCGGAGACAGAAGCATCCGCACAGCCTTGCCCTTGAGGATACCGCGGGCACAGGTGAGGTGGACATGGCCGTGTCTGTTGGAAGAGCTCAGAGTTTTGAGTCCTTCCCCACTCCTAAGTTTCTGGAAAAGCCGGGGAGTGTCCTGTGCCCTTGGGCAGATGACAAAGGTGTGAGTAAACAGCCCGTGGTGTCATCTGTAAGTTGGAGAGGACACCTCTGCTTCCCACGCGAGGCAGCTGGGCTGGGACCGTCAGGAGGATGCCTGAGCGCTCCGGCTTGCTATTCGAGGCGTTCGGCCGTGCCCGTGGCCTGCACCTGTATACACCCGCCCGGGATGGGGCCTTCCCTGGATACTTGAGGCCTGCAGGAAGACGAGGGGCGGGACACTAGAGCAGGCCAAGGCGGAGCCGTGGCCTCTGGGCGGTGGCCACTTCAGGGGGGAGGTTGCACGCGCCACCTTCCAGTTCTTTGTTTACTAGTGAGCAGAACAACACTACACTTGGGTATGCTGCCCCCAAGTGCCAGTCGCTGCTTGTGGCCTGTGCCTGTGCTCCAAAAAAATAAAAAATAAAACTTGCCCCACAGATGTGTCTCATCAGAGAGAAACACAGCATTTCTCTTATCAAAACTGTAACTCTATTTTAAACAACCTCATTGAAGATGATTATAGTTTAGAGGAGTCAAATAGAAAATTCACCCAGGGGTGCTGGGTGGCTCAGTCAGTTGGGCGTCCAACTCTTGGTTTTGGCTCAGGTCAAGATCCCAGGGTCATGGGAGATGGAGCTCCACATCGGGCTCTCTGCTGTCAGCACAGAGCCCACTTTGGGCCCTCTGTGCCCCCCCCCGCCACGCCTCAAAAATAAGTAAACATTAAAATTAAATGAAATGGAAGAAATTTTTTTAATTACCTACAGTAAGCTTAAATTTTTTTAATTTTTATTTTTTTTGGTTTTTATTTATTTATTTTTTTATTTATTTCTAGGAGAGAGAGAGAGACAGCGTGAGCAGGGGAGGGTCAGAGAGAGGGAGTCACAGACTGAAACAGGCTCCAGGCTCCGAGCTGGCAGTCAACACAGAGCCCGACGCGGGGCTCGAACCCACTAACCGCGAGATCATGCCCTGAACCGAAGTCGGACGCTCAACCGACTGACCCATCCTGGTGCCCCTACAGTAAGCTTAACAATAAATATTTACATACACAAATAAATAAATACTTAAGAATAGTCTCGCCAATGCTAATGACCAGCAATGTAATTAAAGCAGGGTCTTTCCCCCTACTTGCTGTTATTCCAAGATAAAGTTTTGTTACTTTTCTTTTATGACTATAAAGGGGATACATGAAAGGTACAGCTGAATAAAAAAGGCTATCCCTCTTAAGGGGCACCTGGCTGACTCAGTCAGGAGAGCATGTGACTCTTGATCTCTGGGTCATGAGTTCGAGCCCCACATGAGGTAGAGAGATTACTTTTAGGAAAGCTATACCTCTTAAAATGAAAATTATAATGCCAAAATTTCCTCCCCAGACATTGGGTAAACACACATGACTTTTTAATATGTATATTTTTATATAACACACATATCTTTTTAAAAGGCATCTAGAATTCTGTCCTCAAGTTAGACTCCACTTACTTAGCCTCAAGAAACTCTTCCTTCAAAAGCAGTTTCACAGCTGCCAGGATTTGGTATTTCAATCCCATGATTCTTTCTTGCGAATATATATATATTCATAGTTATATATAGCTACAGCTCTATAGATCTTCCCCAGTTTTCTTCCAAAGGTATTCCCTAAAGATTTCACTTCCTTAAGAGCACCCTTTTCTCCTTTCAATGAGGCAAATGAAAATACTACCTGTCACTTGCTAGGTCTTTCCACTTGTCTTAATAGCCTCTCCACTCCTCCTCTCCACCCTCCACTCCAGATTTGTAGCTCCAGACAATTATTATCCAAAATTTAGACAGTTATTTCCTTCCCAGGTGGTTTTTTAAAAATTAATATTGACTGTAATGTTTATTCATTTTTGAGAGAGAGAGCATGACAGAAGGAGAGAAAGACACACAATCCAAAGCAGGCTCCAGGCTCTGAGCTGTCAGCACAGAACCTGGAACCCAAGTCAGGGGCTTAACCGACTGAGCCACCCAGGGGTCCCTAATTGGTGTTGATTGTAATCCTACACTTTGGCCCATGGGAAGCTAGACCAGTTTGGACAGGGCAGGGCTTTCATCCCGGCATTTAAACAAGGATTTCAGTACTAGTAGTAAAATAAAACAGTCCAGAAGTGCTTAAGGTAATCATTTTAAGTTTCCTCTAAACCCACTCCAGAGTTAACAGTTAAATTGCAGTGACTTTCAAACTTTCACGACTGGAACTCCAAGTAAGATACACACATGTACATATAGATACCTGGATTTTTCAACAAACGTTACTTCACAGAAGGCAAAGGTAGTGATATTGTCTATTCTGTTCATTTCACATTGTTGCTAATGCAGCTAGGTTGAACCATATGAAACTGACATCTTTGTAGTCAAAATGGTCAAAGGCAAGTGATTTTACATGGCTTGACTGATTTGTGACCCTACAATAATTTCACAATCTACTTAACGGGCTGCATCCCATAGGAAAACACTTTATTTATTTTAAGTTTATTGATTTGTTTTGAGGGAGAGAGTGCATGCACGAGCGGGCCGGAGAGGGGCAAAGACAGAGGGAGACAGAGAACCCCAAGAAGGCTCCTCCCTGCTGTAGTGCAGAACCGGATGTGGGGCTCAGTCTCACGAACTGCAACATCACGACCTGAGCTGAAATCAAGAGTCAGACGCTTAACTAACTGAGCCACCCACGCGCCCCAGAAAACACTGTTTAGTGGGTTATTTTTAAAATTAAAATGGGATTGCAAAAAAAAATTTTTTTAATTTCACTTAACATGGCATGAGATCTTTCCCTGCAAACACATTATCCCTCCACCTCACCCTTCTCAAAGGCTTCATGGGATCCACCACACAGGTATACCCCAGCTTAGCTAACTGATCCCCACCGAAGGCACTGGATTTTTCCCAATTTCTTATTGTTTCAAACCACCATGGTGAACTTTCTGGTCGTAAATGTTCATGAGTTGGTGCTGGAAATTTCTGTAGCATAGACTCAAGGAGGCAGGCTATCAAGCATCTTGTGACCTTAACTGTGTCTCAAAGCCTTTGAATAGGAGTTAGGCTCACTTTTTTTCCCTTTTGTGTGTGCTTGGCAGAGGGTAAACAGTACTGGCCAAGGGGGCTCAGCCAGGCACCCCTTTCTGTCCAGCCCTCATCTGTCTACGACCTTCTTCTGCAGGATTGGAAGCTCAAGCTTGCTCCAGACCTCTCCCTATATAGACAAACACTACGGGAGACACCCTGGAAAACAGTGCATTTTAACATCAACCAGATCTGAGTTGCCCAGGCTCCTCAAGTCCTCTGGACTTCGCTATCACTACCTACAAAAAGGAAACAAACCTCTCAGGGTTGCCAGGAGGATGAAGTAGACAAGGTGGAGAGCTTTATAAACGAGTTACACAGAAATGAGCCATTATCGTCAGCTCGTGCCTGACTCCTCTCTCCCAAGCATTAGACAGAGCCTACTCTGTTTACACTGCAGTGGGCTGGGGGAAGGGCTCAAAATGAGACCCGAAGCTTGGCTCACCCCTCTGAGTTTAGTTTGCCAGGTCCCCGGCCTCGTTGTCTTCACTTCTTCAGTTCTTGAGCGCCAAGGTAAAGAACCAAACTCTCGGACAGTCATTCATTCAACAACAAATATTTATTGAGTAACTACTATATGCCAGTCATTGCGCTAACCATCACGTGCGTCTCAATAGTCTCACTGGCAAAATGAGAAACGGTGCTTCTCAACAGAGAAATGATGGGCAACCTGGGCGGGACAATTCTTGTGTCCTCTAAACGACAGGGGCTGTACCTTGTCAAAGGGACAACCCGAAAATGCCCCAGCACGTGTCGACACGGCCCCTAGGGGGCATTTTTGCCCGCGATGAAGAATCCCCGGCCCACCCTCTACGATTCCAGAAGATGTGGAAAGGGGGAGGCCCTGCAACTGGCAGGTTTAGGATGATGCCGAGGCCTGATGAGTAGGACCTGGACCTTGTTTCCGGGGAACAGGACCTTACACTGGCCCCGGGACGAGCTTGTCAACATCCTTGGGACTCTAGATTCCGACTCCTGAGTCAGAACTCCTACTCCCTATGCAGCCAAGATACGATCCGGATTTCTGTTCCTGGCAGAGTGTGAGTTCCTGGGGAAGAAGGAACGGAGGTGACCCTGTCCCCCAAGCCCTCGGGAAGCGAAGGGTTAACGCAGGTGGCCCCGCAAAAGCCCCTAGTACCGCTAGAGGGACCATCTCGGCCCCACAGCCGGGCGGCTTCGCGGTCACGTGGGAGTGAGGGCGGGACCCAACGAGAGGCCGACCAATAGACTGCGCTGTCGGTGGGCCTGATAGCCAATAGGAGCAGGGAGAGGGGTCCCGGGACTAGGAAGAAACGGCGGCCGGGAGGGGGCTACTGGGACCATGGGGCTTCTGACCATTCTGAAGAAGATGAAGCAGAAAGAGCGGGAGCTGCGACTGCTCATGCTGTATCCTCCCGGACGCCGGAGCCGCGAGGGTAGCGGGGGCCCCGCTGGGCGGGCGGTGCCAGGCGCCCCCTACCGGGCGCGGGGGGCGCGGCCGGCGCGTACCAACTGCCCTTTGTGCGTCACGCACGTGGGCCCTACCAATCTCTCTGATGGGGGGGGGGGAGGAGGTCATACCACCGGCTCGGGGCGGGGGGACTCCGTTCCCAAGGCCAAAGGTGAGGGCCTACTGGTGCGGCGGCTGGACCAGATGTCCCCGTGTAGAGGGCAGGGAGAAGGGCCGGAGGCGACTCGGATGCCGCCACCCGTCGGTCTGGCCCGAGTGTGAGGCCTCTGTCCTCCCTGGCTCTGACCTTCCTCCCCTGTCCGAAGGTGCCAGGCCCCGGCCCCGCCTTCAAGGTCGGAATCCCGGGGGCACGCGGGCCCCGCCCCCCGCTCCTGGGGGAGGCGGGTGTAGACGCCTCGGGTTGTTTCAGTCCCGAGTCCAACTGTCCGCCTGTGTGGCCGCGCGGCCGGTCCGTATCTCCCGTCCCCACCCCAGGCTGACAGCTTGTAGGCCCAAGGGGCCCCGCCGACCTTCTGAGCCCCGTTAACAGGCTCCCGCACGCCTTCTGCCTCCTCTGAGCCTGTTCGCATCGGGACTCTGCGATCCCAGAGCGGGACGCGTCTCACCCGGAGCCCCCCTAGCAGGGGAGGGAAGACATTGCAGTGGACAAATAACTTTATAATATTCACATCACAAAAGCACAGAGAATTCACTCATCCAATTGAGTGTTTACTGAGTGCCTATTTGTGCCAGGCCCTTTCCTAGGGGCTGGGATAAAACCGCAAAAACCAAACCCTACCGCCTCGGACGGTCTGTGGGAAGAAAGCAAATAGTTAAGCTGTATGGACTGTTTGGAGAAAAATGCAATTTAAATAAGGTGGCCAGTGAAGGCCACAATTGAGAAAATGACAGGGAGGTGAGAGCTGAAGCATGTGGGTACCTGGGGAGATTTGTTGAAGCAAAAGGAACCAGCTCAACGGTCTGGAAGGAGGAGCTCACCGGGTGTGTTCAAAGGAGAGTGGTGTGGCTGGAGAGAGTGAGCCAGGAGGAGATTACTAGATTGGGACAGGGGACAGAAGAGCCTTTGGGTTCTTGGCTTTAAATGAGAAGTGCCGAGAAGAAACATGACCTCAGGTCAAGTGTGCCGTTGCCACGCCACAGGCGAGATAGGACTCTGGCTTGGATCAGGATAGAAGCAGTGAGGTGACGGAAGATGGGGGACATTGTGACCACAGGCCCAGCAGGACTCGCTCCGGGATTGGAGGCAAGGTGAGGGGGAGAGCGAAGTCAAGCGTGACTTCGGTTTCTGGCCAGAGGGGTTCAAAGAATGAGGAATCACTTGCCGAGATGGGGAAGGGGGGCAAGGAGCAGGTTCAGAAAGGTGAGAGCTCAGGTGTGACCATGCAAGGTGCCTCTGAGACTTCCTGTAAGTGCCAGATGGGCAGCTGGAGACAGGGACTGAGTCCAGGGGAGCAGCTGGGTGGGAAGCGCACTTCTGGGAGTCTCAGCATAAAGATGGAATTTTTTTTTATGCCCCTGGGTGGCTCAGTTGATTGAACATCCGGCCCTTGATTTTGGCTCAGGGCACAATCTCGCCGGTTCCTGGGTTCGACCCCCACATGGGGCTCTGCGCTGGCAGTGCAGAGCCTGCTTAGGATTCTCTCTCTCCCTCCCTCTCTCTCTCTCTGCCCCTCCCCTGCTGGTGCGTGTGCTCTTTCTCTCTCAAAATAAGCCTAAAAAAGAATAAAGCTGGTATCTGAAGCCGTGGTCCTGGGCGAGAGCTCTAAGGGATGAGTGTGAACCGAGGAGAGAACCGGGGCGTACTTAGAGAAGAGGTCAGGGCGATGAGAACCAGGTGAGGGAGTGGAGGAGGGGCAGGCCGCTGTGTCGGGTGCTGCTGATGGAAGAGGAAGAGGAGGGCTGGTTACTGTCCAGCGGGAGGACAACATGAGGTCTTTAGACACCTTGGTAAGAGCAGTTTTGGGGAAGCAGTGGGAGCAAAAACCTCAAGAACGAGCAGGAAGGGGGCGCCTGGGTGGCTCAGTCGGTTAAGTGTCCGACTTCGACTCAGGTCATGATCTCATGGTTTGTGGGTTCGAGCCCCGTGTCGGGCTCTGTGCTGACAGCTAGCTCAGAGCCTGGAGCCTGTTTCGGATTCTGTGTCTCCCTCTCTCTCTGACCCTCCCCTGCTCATGCTCTCTCTCAAAAATAAAGAAAACATTAAAAAAAAAAAAGAACGAGCAGGAAGACAAATTGGAGAGGGTGCTTATGGACAACGGTTTTGAGATTTGCTGTAAAGGGAAGGAAGTAAAGGAATAAGTAGAGGGGAGAAGGGATCAAGAGAGGGTGATGTTTGCTTCTCCTAAGGTGGGAGAGACACCAGCTTGTCTGCTAATGGGAATGATCCAGTGGATGATGGAGTTGGGGGACGAGGGGGGTAATCGGAGGTGAAGGCTGGGTCTCAGGAAGGAGACCCTCATTCCACTGGTTTGAGTCGCCTGGGCCCGCTCCCAGCTGCAAGCCCCCTTAAGTGTTGGAAGGACAGAGGAGGGTGGTTCTCTCCAGCTGGTGAACTCACTCATTTGTTTGCACGCTCAGCAGCAAAGGGTTTGGAATATTCCAGAAACAGAAAGGTGAGGGCGGCTACCTCCAGATACTTGCTCCTGCTGTTGCCTCTGCCTAGAATGCTCTTCCCTTAGTCCTTTGGAAAGCCACCTTCTTATAGTTTGGGCCTCAGCCCGAGACCCTGAGAGGGGTGCCTGAGCTAAAGGAAGCTTCTGGAAAGGGCCTTTCCCAAAGCCTCTTAGTTATACTTCTTACACTCACCAGGAGCCGACGGTCCATTGTTTCTCATTTGGTTGCACTCTCTCCACACGACTAGAAGCTGCACAAGGGTGGGAACTTGGACTCTGGGGTACCCCCAGCACCAGAAAAGGGCCTGGCACATAGTATTCGGTAGATATTTGGTCAGGATGAGATGATAAAATCTTTATTTCTTGATACTTTCCCATTTATCACGGGCCCATAAATTGTGGCTCGGGCACGTGCTCAACTAACTTGATACATGGCGGGAACCGATTGGTCTCCTAAAAGAGGGGCACTGCGGTGACGTCACCACCCTGCAGCGCGTTGGGACTTCTCCTTAACCCGGTGTGCCGCAGAGGCCTGGACAATGCTGGCAAAACAACCATCCTCAAGAAGTTCAACGGGGAAGACATTGACACCATCTCCCCGACACTGGGCTTCAACATTAAGACCCTGGAACACCGGGGGTGAGTGGGCCCCCTACCCACCCCCCTATCCCCGCAGAGGGCTGGCCCAGAGGAGGGCGGGGGAGGGCAGGGGAGGGAGGGGGCCAGGCTGACCCTCTGGCAACCCCATTCCTGCCCAGATTCAAGCTGAACATCTGGGATGTGGGCGGCCAGAAGTCCCTGCGGTCCTACTGGCGCAACTACTTCGAGAGCACGGACGGCCTCATCTGGGTGGTGGACAGCGCCGACCGCCAGCGGATGCAGGACTGCCGCCGGGAGCTCCAGAGCCTGTTGGTGGAGGAGGTGGGCGGGGTCGGGCCTGGCCAAGGGGGGAGGAGCCCGGCTTCCAGCCCCGCCCCCACACTTTGTGCCCCGAAGTGGATGTGCGCGCACAATCCCTGAGCCGGCCGTGACCCCAAGGGAACACCTCAGGGCGGGGTCTGTTCCTCCCCTGAGCCCTCACCAGGTGCCCACCCTTGCGGAGGCAGAGACAACCTGCACGTTTGGTCCAGGAAAACCCACAGTGCCTCGGGCCACTGAACAGAGACCAGGGTTCATGTCCCTGTGGTGTCACTACTGCCTCGCAACCCTGAGCTTCAGGTTCTGCACCTTGAATGGGGCGTTAGGGAGGATGATCCGAGGCCAGCGGGTGACGCTTTGGGAGGCAGTGGAGCCTGGCTCAGGAGTTGGCCTCTCTGCTGTGTGACCTCAGGCAAGGCGCTTAACCTCTCTGAACCTCCACTGCCTCATTTCTAAGGTGGGCATTATACTTCGGGTGATCTTATAACGTATTATCTGGGCCAAAACACTTTAAGGAAAATTTTAGATTTACGGAAAATTCGCAAAGATACTGAAGAGAGAGGCACCCTATCTACCTTTCACCTTGCTTCCCCTGTTAACATCTTACGTAACCACCATGCGTTTGTCGAAACTTAGAAAGTAGCATCAGTAAGTCACTCTTCACTAGAGATTTTATTTGGATTTCACCAGTTTTTCCACCAATACCCTTTCTCTGCTGCAGGATTTGTTGGGTTATTCCACTGCATTTAGTTGAAAACCAGGACACTTTTATGAATGAAAGAGGGAGCTATTAATAATTACGCAGGAACCGCAGACATCAACAGGATTGTTCCAGGCACAGGTCGCCTGGTACAGCAGTAGCCACCTCCATGGGGCGTCTGGCGGGTCCAGTGAGGTCACGGCTGCCAGTGCTCAGCCCTGGCCTGGCACCTTGAGCCCATTTATCAGGGCTGGATCCACCTGTCTCCATGGAGGGACTCCTAGCAGAAACACACACATGGAAATAATTAGAAGCAGAGGCCAAGAGTGAGGCCTATGAGGGTAGTGAACAGTTAAAGGGCAACATGAACTTGGACGAGGGAAAGGTCGCTTCCAGCAGGCCCCATGGCCCCCGGGGACAGTTGCATTCTTTGTGCATATCAGGTCATCACGTGGGCGCTGTCTAGAACCCGAGGGCTTCGGGACCATCGTGTCCATCCCCCCCCCCCCCCCCGATTTATGGAGGAGGAAACTGAGACGTAGAGGAGAAGTGCCCACTGGGCCGCGGCCTAGGGCTCCGCCCCTACCAAGTATGGCTGGATTCACGGACTGTGTCCATGGTGCTGCCCCACTTGGGCTTCTCCGACACCCCGGGGGCCTTGCCTTGATCTTCCATGTTGATCTCTGACCCCACCTGCTCCGGGCGATGAGAGGAGGGGCCGGGCTGCCCTCTGAGCCCCGACTCCCAATCGCCTGTTTCTCCCCGCAGCGCCTGGCCGGAGCGACCCTCCTCATCTTCGCCAACAAGCAGGACCTCCCCGGAGCGCTGTCCTCCAACGCCATCCGCGAGGTGAGTCCAGGCCTTAGCAAAGGTTCGCGGAGGGAAAGGGGCACACATTGTCGTTGTCAACTTGTTTAAAAAGCGTTATGTAGCCTCTATTGCATGGCGGGACCCACACAGGCCCCTGGAGATTCAGCACTAATGAGACGTGGTTGTGCCCCGCAGCCGCAGCCGGGGGAAGGCAGACCTGCCAGTGTTTTCCTTCAACATAACAGCAGCCAGCCAGTAGCCAGTGCTGCCCGGCCAGGCGCTTTGCATGGATTAACTCATTCAGTCCTCACCCCAGCCTCTCCAACCAGGCACTGTTATTACCCTTCTGCAGATACCGAAGCAGGTTTAGGGGAGCTAGGTAACTCACCCACGGTCACACAGCCTGTAAGCAGCCGAGCCAGGATTTAAACACAGGCCTCTGTGACCCCAAAATGCATCTGTCCCACTTACCTTCTTCTTAGAGTTTGAGCACCAGAATGAGAAAGAATGGGGTCAGAATCTCGGTTCTGCCGCTCACGAGCTGTGTGACCTAAGGCAGGTTGCTTAACCTCTCTGAGGTTAACCTCTCTGCTTAGCCTTTCTAAGTGAAATGGCCACCGAGCCCTGGCTCATTGGGAAGAACGGATGGGAGGACACTTGTGGGGCACGTAGCACAATGCCTGGATCCGAGCAGACGCTCAGGAGCCTGTGTTCCTATTCCGTTACTGAGGGGTCACGCGGGATGGAGTGGTGAGTGGGCAGGGCCTGTGGTCGCCAGGGCCCACCGTCATCTACCCCCCGCTGCCCACCCCCCCGCCAGGCCCTGGAGCTGGACTCCATCCACAGCCACCACTGGTGCATCCAAGGCTGCAGCGCCGTCACCGGGGAGAACCTCTTGCCTGGCATCGACTGGCTCCTGGACGACATTTCCAGCCGCATCTTCACAGCCGACTGAAGCACTCCGGATGCCCTCCCCCCCCCGCCCCGCCCCACCATCCAGCCCCCCTGCCCCCAGCCCTCACCAGGCGCCATCCACCAAGGGGATGGCAGTCAGCCAGCCTGACTGCCACCCCTGCCCCACTCCGTAACCTGCTGCTGCTGCTAACTGCCCACTGCTGCTCGGCGGCCGGCCGGCTCCCCTGGCTGGAGGACCACCGCCCTGGCTGTCCCCCTGGCTCCTGACCCGGCGCGCCCGCAGCTGCCACACCACGAGGAGACAGGGCTGGGGCCGGGAGGGGGCCGCCTCTGCTGCTACCAAGGCTGTGGGCCTCACCCTTTGCTCAGCTGTGAGAATAAACCGCTCCCTGCCCCACTTTCTGGTGGAGTCATTCGTTGAGCCCACAGCTTTAAGGGACCCACTTGGAACCCACGGGACAGAAGGGCACACATCATCCCAGCCAGAGGGTTAACCGCTGCTGTGTCGCAGGGACAGACCGAGAATTAGAGACGCACAGGACAGGGCTGCAACTAATTCCATTCGGAAGAGTCCAGGCAGGCTTCCCAGAGGGAGTGACATTAAAGTTGGGCGTGAAGGATGAGTAGAAGTTCTCTGGGTAGAGGAAGGGGCTGGACAGTTTACCACACAGAGTGGCTGCTGCCCTCTCTGTCAGTAAGGAGAAGGGACGCAGCCCCACATCAGGGCTCATTGCTGAATGGAATACGGGCTGGATTTCAGCTCCAACTCGCCGCTGTGGCCAGGAGCCCGCACGCAGTCCACCACCTACACAGCCGTCCAGGGCAGCTTTGGCTCAAGTGGAAGGACCCGCCTGACAGAAATGAAGAGCAAGGGCTCTTGGGAAGTGGGGAGGGGAGAAGACTCTGGTGTAAAAGGACGCGAGGGTCAAGCGGGGCTTGCTTTTTTTGGTCTCTCTGCTCAAAACTCGGGTGCCAGATAGAGGAGGCTTAATGTGTCTAATGAGGAAAGGGTAGTTTTCCCAAGGGAAAGGTGAGGAGGAGCCGCAGAGATTTGCTCCGAAACGGGCACTAGGATTCCTTCCTGGAGAGGGAATGTGCAAAACTCCGGGCTCTGTCAGGGTGGACGAAGGGAAACGGCTGTTAGGTAGACAAACTTGGAACATGACCTGTCCTCCAGTGTAGAAACTGAAAAACACCCGCCCTGACCTCTGTGTGACACGGTGTGGTCCTCGTGCTCCGAGACCCTGTGGTGCGTGAGCACATCCAGGCTCCCGAACCAAACCCCAGCTCTGCCACTCGCTGGGTGACGTCAAGCAAGTTGCCCGGTCTATCTGTGCCGCAGTGTCCCCATCTAGGGGGAGAGAATGGCACCTTCCTGCTAAGTTTGGGACAAGGACCAAGTGAGTGGGCGTCTTGTGTGTCACCAGCATTGTATAGTGTTAGCTATAATTATCACTGTTTGAACCGGTAGGAGCTGAAGCAGGTCCAGGGGCTGTGAGCTCAGCCGGATGAGTCACCTCAAGGGTTCAAGTCCTCCCGGGGGCTCTTAGTAAGCAGCATCCTTGATTTACAGCCTGAATTATGCACGGTTGGAGAAAACTAAAATAACGAGGTTATACTCATTACCAAGGCCTGCAGATGGGGAGTGTGAGCTGTGACAGAAAGTCTGCATCCAGTGCTCAGCCCAGTGGGAATGTAGGGAGCCCGGCTGGCAGCTGGGGTTCTGGAACTTTCCACCCTCTTGCTGGCTAAGGGCTAAGAGGGTTCTTCTGTCTGCTTTTCCCGCTGATGGAAATGGCGGAGCTGGAGTCTGAAGGCGGGGGACGGGGGAAACTGATCTAGATCGGAACGGGCTTTGTGGAGTTATTTCTAGAAAATGTATTGAAAGCCCTGGAGGGTGAAGGGGACAATCGCTGAAACATCAGCCATGATCTGGTTTCCAGGCTGTCGAACTCAATAGCATCATGAGATACAGGGCCCCGAGCGCCCCCACAAGGCAGTTAAGAAGCAGACCCACTGTCCTGGCCTGACAGTCGGTGAAATTACGCACTCCCTGCACGCCTTCACCTAAACACCAGATGTGCATCTCCTTAATGTTTAAGACCCTTTCTTACTTTGAGGCTCTTTGACGTTCACATCTAATGAAACATGAGATCAAGGCTACGTGCAGACCCCGGCTGCTGCTACCCTTTCGCAGAAGCAGCCCTGCATGTCCGCTCGGTCTGGTGTCTGAGAACTTCTTTAGTGCACGGTGACAAGCGCGCCCAAACAGGGACCAGAAGAGTTGATTGGTTCCCAGCTGGCTGTGTACCCTGGCTCTCAAGCCCGAGGAAGGGAAAGTACGTCTGTCCGTTCAGACAGGTAGGAATTATGCCACTCGATGCCTGCGACGAGACAGCAAGAGTATCCCTGATCTTTTCTGTTCCTTTCAGGGTGCAGAATTTCTTGTCTTTCTGTTTCTCTTGCTGTCCCTTTCCTGTTTGCTCGTCATGGGGGTCCCACTATCTAAGCAGCAGAATACACATAAGGAGCAACTCTGTGCTTTTGCAATCGTCAGGATGCAAAGTCCCAGATAAAGATTTAACCCAATTGCTTTCCATAATTTATTAGCCATGCCCATGGTACCCCCCAAGGGTCCCCTGAAGTGGCCAATTGGGAGCACACGGAGCGCTAGTTAAAAAATGCTCTTGGCCTGGGGCGCCTGGGTGGCTCAGTCAGTTAAGAGTCTGACTTTGACTCCGGTCATGATCTCACAGGTCTGTGAGTTCAAGCCTCGCATTGGGCTCTGTGCGGACAGCTCAGAGCCTGGAGCCTGTTTCAGATTCTGTGTCTCCCTCTCTCTGCCCCTTCACTGCTCGTGCTCTGTCTTTCAAAAATAAGTAAATTGGAGCGCCTGGGTGGCTTAGTCGGTTAAGCGTCCAACTTTCGCTTAGGTCATGATCTCACGGTTCGTGGGTTCGAGCCCCGCGTCGGGCTATGTGCTGACAGCCAGCTCAGAGCCTGGAGCCTGTTTCAGTCTGTGACTCCCTCTCTCTCTGACCCTCCCCTGCTCACGCTGTTTCTCTCTCTCTCTCTCTCTTCTAGAAATAAATAAAACATTTAAAAAAATAATAAGTAAAATGATGGAGTGCCTGGGTGGCTTAGTCAGTTAAGTGTCCAACTTTCGCTTAGGTCAAGATCTCACAGTTCGTGGGTTTGAGCCCCGCATCGGGCTTTGTGCTGACAGCCAACTCAGAGCCTGGAGCCTGTTTCCAATTCTGTCTCCCTCTCTCTCTGACCCTCCTCTGCTCACGCTGTCTCTCTCTGTCTTAGAAATAAATAAAATATTAAAAATTTAAAAAAAAAACGAACGAACCCTGAAATCTATTTTTTAAAAAAATAAGCAAAATGTTAAAAAAAATTTTTTTTAATGCTCTTGGTCCAATAAGGATCTCTCATTTACACACTTGGAATTTATGCTACATTGCCCTTCATGCTTCACAAGAAAAACCAGATAAAATAGTAGGCAGGACTTGACCCCTCCACCCTCCAACCCACCACTCTCGTTATAGGTAAGACCCCAGAATATGTGGCCCCAGATGCACCATCAAATGTGTCTAAGCCCAATTCATAATACAAAGGACCCTCCCTTTCCTTTGCCGTGTCTTCTGGTCCCGCCAGAGAATCCTGCCTTAACGCCCTCAACCTCTTTACTCTCTATGGTAGAACGTATGTTCAAGGAAGGGTTTGCTCTGGCCTTCCGTGTCTTGAGAACACAAGGTCAGGGGCGCCTGGGGGGCTCAGTCTGTTGAGCAGCTGACTTCGGCTCAGGCCATGATCTCACCTTTTGTGAGTCTAAGCCCCGCATCGGGCTCTGTGCTGATGGCTTGGAGCCTGGAGCCTGCTTCCTTTTCTGTGTCTCCCTCTCTCTCTGCCCCTTCCCTGCTCCTGCTCTGTCTCTCTCTCTCTCTCTCTCTCTCTCTCTCTAAAAAATAAATAAACATGGGGCGCCTGAGTTGCTCAGTTGGTTAAGCCTCCAACTTTGGCTCAGGTCATGATCTCATGGTTCGTGGGTTCAAGCCCCATGTTGGGCTCTGTGCTGACAGCCAGCTCGGAGCCTGGAGCCTGCTTCAGATTCTGTGTCTCCCTCTCTCTCTGACCTTCCCCTGCTCACACTGCCTCTCTCTCAGAAATAAATAAAACATAAAAAAAACAAAAAAACGGACTCTCAAGCACCTTTACCAAGGGATTATAGATGGGATGGGGGGGGGGGGGTATGAGATGACCTCTTGGGATTGGAAAACCTTAGTTAAAACAATTCTCAATGCTGCCCAATATTCTTCATGGTCACAAGAATTTCAAGAGACTGTACATGTCACTGCTAGGGACAACTTAACAATGGAATGCCTGTTAGATTGGATGTGCTTGTGGGGGAGGGGCCTTATATGACTATTCAGGCTCAAACACATGGATCAAAAGGCCTTCCCGCAGATTGCTGACGTGGTATCTAAGGCATGGATGGCATCGCATTCCCGATACTCAGACACCCACGCTTCTTTCACCACCGTTTGACAGGGCGCCAATGAGCCCTACATAACCTTTACTGAGAGACTCCAGACCACTGTCATAAGGCAAATTGATAACATAGATGTCTAAAAGGTCTTAGCTCTTTAACTGGTGCGTGGAAATGCCAATCAGGATTGCCAGAAGGTCCTTGCTCCCTGAAAGGGACAAAACCCCGATATTGCTGAAATGATTCAAGCTTGCCAAGATGTGGGGACTGAATCTTGTAAGGCTGTGTTATTGGCCTCAGCATTAAAACCCCAAATATGGGTGTTTTTTTTAAATGTTTTATTTATTTCTGAGAGAGAGAGAGAGAGAGAGAGAGAGAGAGAGGCAGCATGAGCAGGGGAGGGTCAGAGAGAAGGAGACACAGAATCGGAAGCAGGCTCCAGGCTCTGAGCTAGCTGTCAGCACAGAGCCCGATGCGGGGCTTGAACCTATGAACCGTGAGATCGTGACCTGAGCCGAAGTCGGAGGCCTAAGCAACCGAGCCACCCAGGCTCCCCTAAAACCCCAAATATGTTTTAAATGTGGAAAGGAGGGGCACTTTCCAAAACGCCCTACTCCAAAGTGTCCACAATGTAAAAAAGGCTATCATTAGGCCAATCAGTGCAGATCAAAAAGAGATTCCCAAGGTAACCCGCTTCAGGGAAACTTCAAGAGCACTGACTCCCACACCCCCAAACAAAACGGGAGACAGACACCCCAGATTTGGAACATAGATGCCAAGGAATGGATCCCCAAGTCAATAAATAACCCCTTCAATCAAAACCTAGGCTAATCTCGGGGCGCCTGGGTGCCACCTCTGGCAGTGTGGAATTTGATTTGCCACAAAGTCCAGCTTAACACTTAATATTG